TGTATGCAGGGAGAACTTACCAACAAGCAATACAGTATAACTGTAGGTCTAAATATTCAGAAATGAAATATTTGCCTCAATACAGAGGAGAAAAGAAAATTGCACCTGCACTCTTGACACCAGAACTGTGCCTTTCTAAAACTCGGCCGAAATCATGGAGTAGTATGTATGACAAGAGGACCTAACAAGATTTAACTCTGTGATCAAGTAAACAGAGCAGTCTATTTGTAACTCGGATGTGTCACACAGTTATGTGTTGGCCATGATCGATGTTATTACTTACTGGTACTCTGAATTAAATTTTAATTCTCTTTATTGATGGTGGTTTCACTGCAGTTGAAGGAGAAACTGTCAGAGTATGAGCATGCAGAGCTATACTGCATGTGAAATTGTATCCATTTAAATAAGAAGTTTTTAAAATATTAAATTAATGTCTGTGCTCAATAACTGGGGAGTTGTAACTGTAAAGAAAGCACCAAAAAGTATGGAGTCAGATTTGTCAAAATAACTCCAATGCAGGGTGACCAGTGAACTAGATAAGGATGAATCCATAGTTCATTAATTTAAGTCTAGCCTATGTTGACAGAGAACAAATGTTGATACCATCTGATCGTTAGTTCATGGTTTTATGAAAACAAATAGGTAATGCAGTTCCTCATCCTCAGTTTTAGATGAGAGGCTGGGTATGGACTGATTTCATGCTTAGGACAGACGCATTGATTTGGTAAACAGGAGCTGCCACTGCCTAACAGATGTCTTTTCTGTGGAGAAATAAAGGACACCATTCTTGAGGCTGCTCTTTCACTACCTTTCTTGATGGAGCAAAAGATTCATCAGACTCGAAGAAAAACACATTGATTTTCCCCACCCCCCTCCCTCCAGTCAGGAAACTCATCTATTTTGGCATTTTGTTTATTTGGGTTGTTTAGATATTCATGTGCTTATCATACAACTGTCAAATAATGAGTATTCCCGGGGGCGGGGGGAGAACGTTGAGGTACTTGTATAATTTATCTTGGACCAAAATCCCGTTCTGCATTTGCAAAATTAGTTATTGGCTCCATTCTTCCGCCTTTGCTTTGGAATTTTCAAAGCGTTACATATGCAAAAAAAAAAAAAAAAGCATCAAAGAGTAATTTGTATGGTTTTCTTGGAATGAAAACTTCCTATTGATTGAAATTTCTTCTTTTTTTTTCTTCCTCCTACAGGGTGCAAATATGGCCAAACAGATTGGAGCAGCTACTTATATCGAATGCTCAGCTTTACAGTCAGAAAACAGTGTAAGAGACATTTTTCATGTTGCCACCTTGGCATGTGTAAACAAAACAAATAAAAATATTAAACGGAACAAATCACAGAGAGCAACAAAGCGAATTTCACACATGCCGGGCAGGCCAGAACTATCAACAGTAGCTACAGATTTGCGAAAGGATAAAGCGAAGAGTTGTACAGTGATGTGAAGGATCTAGATTTCCTTAAGAAGGAGGAAGAGACAATGTGTTCAGGAAAGGTGAAGACTCGGTGAAGTACGCAGCCAACTGGCACAAAACATCAGCTTAAGTCAATACTTTAAAGGATACTCTTCACCTTTTGTGTGTGACTGTATTTAGGGATTCAGAAAGTAAACCAAGCAACGAAAACAGATGGATCTAAATGAGATGGTGTCAAAAAATGTTACACGAAAGAAATGCCAAAAGAGGAAGATATTTGAATGTGCTAAAAAAGCGATGTAAGGGAAAGTAGCACCTCGGAGAAGAGAGATGTCTTTGACTGTGCTTTGTTTGTTTTTCTTAAAGCTCTATTCCTGGATACTACTTTGATTTAATTAAAATAATATTTTAATGTTCCTTTTAAAAAAAATGAATTAAAGGTATCATTAATTATATCTTCTTCATTGGGGAGCTAGCCCTGTGACCTTAGAGTTTGGTTTTTTCCAAAGGATATGATCTAATTTCCTACTGGCTCATCATTTAAATGGAAATTGTATCGAGGCCCATGGGTCATCCAGAGGAAAACAGCATATGAGAAAGCTTTGAAATCATGCCTTCCTGAGATGGCTGTATAAGCTAAATTTGAACAAGTGGTTAATGAAGACCTTTGGAGACTTACCAGTATTTTCAGTGCCCTACCACAACAAACATTAAAATGAAATAGAAAAAAGTACCTACCTGTTACAGAACTTTTGAAAATATTTTTTTTCTGTTCATTGTGTGATGGTAACTAAAGTGGTGATGCTCTTAATCTTTTATGTTGACATCCCTCTTCGTAATGTCCCGATGTACTGTATGGATATGTCACTAGGCAAAATTAAATGAAAGGTGATATGAGTTACAACAACAAATAATGATTAATTCAAAACACATTTTTACAGCCTTAGTGCCCAGTGCTGTGAGATCTTAAAAACCCACAATTTCTGTAGTCTTCAGGAGTGGAGGAGCTTGGGGCCTTCTCAGTATCTGGCCCTGCATACATATAAAGGAGAAGTGCTATTCTGTGATGTGATTCTCTGTAATTATACTTAAACAAACATAGAAGTACACAGATGAACCAGAATATCTAGTATATTATACACTCTCACAGGGATGCCTTGGATGACTGTCTTTTTAGTACAGATTTCATTATTCTCCTAATGAGTACTATGAGGAAATGGGGCCTATAGAACTGTGGCGCCTTAAAGGGCCCCCAGTGGAAACTGGATAGTGCATTCATCTTAAAGGACTAATAGGTGCATATCCAGGTGGTGATTGTTAAATGTTGGTCAGTTTTTTTTCAGTTACTGATTACTACTGTTACATGAAATAAATCAGTCTCTAAAATGGCTTGCAGATGTTTAGTGACCAATTATCTTCATGGCTTCTCTTAAAGGATACTGTAAGCTCTGACTGGTTGCTATAGCTTGTTTGAAGACAAGCGTTGTTTCCAATGATAATGCTTCATTTTTGAAGTATTAAAGCGGTGTTCACATTAAGCTGTGGCAGGGTAAAGGACTTAGGAACTGAATACACTCAATGCCATGTGTTACCAGCACTTTGTTTCTTCTCTGCAAGAAGAAAAAACTACCATTCCAACCATTTTTCACAAAAAAACACTTTACCACCATAATATGCTTCTGACTGATGCAGCAGTATGCTTAGGGCAGTATTACAAAATAGCTGGCAAGTGCTTTCTGTATTTAAATATTGTAAAAAGAAAGTAAGTTATAACTGTCATAAAACAGGAATTCCATTACTTTTTTAATGTTGAAGTCACTTTGTATGTTTGGTTAATGTTTCTCCAGTATTTATTAAAATATCTTTTTTTCCTTTGAATAAAAAAAGTCAGTGTAAATGACCTCTGTACAACAGTTCATTACAAGTTGAGTGTACTGTCCCGAAATACTTGGCATGCATGTTAAAGTACATGCATATCTTGGCACTTCTACATAAGTGAGAGGAAACTAGGATTGATTTCCACTAAGTCATTGTGCTTTGGAATTATGACATTCATAACTGAGTCACATTTCCCAGAAATTACGGGTGGGCAGGGGAGAGGAGGAAACTTACTCAAGTTGCAGCCTTGAAATCATTGGATCCATCTGTTTTTAAAGGCGCTTCTGAATACATGCACTGCTGCATGTTGTATGACTGAACTTCGCAGACTTTACAGACTTTTCCCCCTCCCTCCACTGATCTTAGCACTACTAAGGGGTTAATATATTTTACTCTTAGGACACATTCTTCAATAGCTGTGCTGTATTAAATAACATATTTTTCTTCAACATTAGGCAGGCATATCTTTTCTTGTTGTGACAATGTTCATTTTGCCATTGGAAGGTTAAATTTCCAAGTTTCCTTTTACGGTATTTCAGAAATGCTGACTCCAGGCGGGCCCATAAGAGTCTTGTTCATTGACTACAAAGGTCAGATTTCATCCAGAATGTTCCAAGCTCTGCAAGAGCAGCAGTTACCAGTAATATCTCTTAATTCTTGTTCCTTTTATTTTCATTTCCTTTTAATAATATTTTTTATGCTGGACCAGTCTTATAGTTGGAACATCTCTAATAAGAGTGTTGTTCTGAACTGCATATAACAAGAAATAATCCAGTTCTCAGTTATTTCCTCAAATCCTATAAAAACTGAGCCAGGAATTTGTGTAAATTCCTAAGGACACTCTAGGCTCCCAAGCAATAGCTTATGCTTGCTGGTGCTTTAAGTTCTTGATGAGTCTTCCCTACCACCCTTTCCCCCCCGCTCCCACCTTTTTCTTGGCATAATTGATGTAAACTTGATAATGTGTAAAAAGTGGGATTCATTCTGTTTTCCATCATAATAAAATACTGAAGCAGTAATTAATTACCATGTAAAAAGAAAGGCTTCCTATTGGTGAGAGATGTTACTAGACCTTGGTGGTACAATGAGGCCATAGATGGTGGACACTCAGTAGCTTTATTCACGCATTGTGATTGTCCAGACTGAGTACTCTTTAAATCCAAGCTATAAAACATCCCAAAATTAATTCCTGTTTTGAAATAGAACTTATCCATTTTTCAAAAACCTCTGATCTTGAAGCAAAAATATCCAGTGATCGAGATTCCAGTGACCTCCTCTGTCAAAAAAACTTTGAGCTTTATTTCTAGTTGACTTTTAGCTTCAGCTTGCAGCTATGTTATATCTTTGATACATGGAAGAGCGCACTCATGAATTTTGTTTCCCATGTGGGTTCTTATAGATGTGATCAGGTCACCCCCTAAATTTCTCTTTGCTTAACTGACTGAGCTTCTTGAATCTATCACTATAAAAGCATACTTCCCAATTCAATCAATGTCATGGTTCCTCTCTTAATCCTCTCCAATTTATCAGCATCCTTCTTGACAACTGGAGTCAAACTGGACCCAAGATTCCAAGAAAAATCGAATTCATGCCTAATACAAGGTAATACAACTTCTCTGCTTCTATTCAGAAGCCCTAGCTTGTATATCAAAGGATTACATTGGCCTTTTTGGTCAGTACCAGTATGTCATTGGAAGCCTACATTTAGCTGATTCCTACCTCAAGTCCTTTTCAGAATCACAGAGTTCCTCTCCACCCTGTAACTATACTTGTATACTTTATCTCATAGTATGTCTTTGATAATGAAAAAACATACTGCTTGCTTCCACCTGGCTTACCAAGTGATACTGACTACTTGGTATCAGTGACTTGCGACCTAATCCAATTCCCATGTCTTATGAAGATTTTATCAGTAATGGAATCAGTATCATGAAAAAAATGTTAAATAGCTCAAAATCAAGACATTGTTCCAGTGAAACTTCAGCAGACATGCATGTGGTTGATGACAGTTCCCCATATACAAATACATTTTAAGGCCAATCAAAATAATTGACTGGTTACTAATCCATTTAATGTGGGGCACATGATTTTGTTTCATTTTAGTTTCTTCATCAAAATGTCATGCACCCAGTCAAATGCTGTACAGAGGGCTAAGTATGTTACACTGGCACTATTATTCTTATTTACCAAGCTTGTAATCTCCTGTAAAAAAAGATATCAAGTTAGCTTGACAAGATCTATTTACCATAAACCCATTTGATTGGCATTAATTATATTACCCTCTTTTAATTCTTTATTAATCCAGTCCCATCTTAACTGTTCAATTATTTTTCTCAGTATCGATGTTAGGCTAAAAGGCCTATAATTACCTATGTCACCCTGTTTACCCTTTTCAAAACCTGTCATGTTAACTTTCTTTTAGTCCATGGGAATTTCCCCAGCATTTCAATACTTACTGAAAATCACAATTAACAATACAGAGAGCTCTCTAGCCAGTTTTTTCTAAACCCCTTGATATAAGTTGTGATTGGAAAGCATTTCTTTATCATATGATATGAATATATCATGTGTCTTTGATATACATACAGAACAAAAATATTTATTGACTAATTCTGCCTTTTCTCCATCATTTGACAATGCTGCCATTTCCATCCAGTACCACTGTTAGATTTTCTTTAGTTTCTAAGATATTTGAAAGCCTCCTTATTGTACTTTACAGGCCATAGATTTTGTGTGTGTTCTTTTGCTTCCCTTGTTAATTTTCTTTCATTTCTGTAATGAATATACAATAAAAGCTATTGGTTTCTCTCTCTTTTTTTAAGTATAATTTCACACGTAAAAAAAGAATCGTAATCAATATTGGACCTACAATTCCAAAAAAACAATTTTGGGAACAGGAGCTTAACCATGTGCTTTGTAAAGACACTATTTTATAAAAATCCGTGTAACTTGCATAATTCACTCTACATTTTAAACCAAGGAAAATGATTGAAAGAAGAGTTGCTTTCTTCAAATGGAATCTCTGTGGCTAGTGGTATGTATAAAAGTAGAATCCACATCACTAAAGAAGCAAATTTTTGTTTGCTTTTTGAGGAACTGTTGTTTGTAAAATGATCTATCTCCTTAAATCTACGGTTAAGCTTCTAGTGAAAGAGGTGGTAAATCATATGTTCTTTTATTTGTAATTTGTGGTAAGTGTCCTTTGGTAAGAAAAACATTCTAAGTACTCTTTTGGTTTCTGGAAAATAAATGTGGTACGTTTCTATTTGTTAGTCCACGTCCAGAAAGACGTGGTGTCTGCCTTTTGATTCTTATGTTGCACAACTAGGTTAGGTAATCATTTATAGTAACTGAAACATTTTACTGGATATGTACACTGCTAAAAAATGTCAAAAGGTTTAAAAAGAGAACAGTGCAACAAAAATCCCCACACTATGTTATGATGCTGAATTAGAATTGACCTGAGGTCAGTTTAATAACAAAATAACCAGCTTGTATGTGTGCTGTTCAGCCCATATGTATCTATATACTAAAATACCTAGAAAATCTGGAGGAAAGGACAGGAATCTGCTTTCCAGATGAATCAGTTACCAGTCATCACAATAGCAGGCACCAGGCAGAATACAAAGGAAGGCATAGAACCAGAGAAAAATAAGTCTGGAAGGGATGTAAGGAAGTCATCTACTCCAACTCTACTCAGGGCAGGATCATCCCTATCTAAACCACTCTAGACGAGTGCTTATTTCACCTGTTAAAATTTTCAGGAACAATCCAAAATATTGTTCAAACAATACAACCCCCCCTCCCCCTCAGGTTTCTTAATCTTTCTGGGTAATTCAACTCAATAAAAATAAATTTAAAAATTATGCCAATTGCTTCTGTTACACAATGATGTGCACAAATACATAAGCGAAAATACCTCTTCTAGTGGAATTTTTAGCTTAAGACACTAACAACCAATAAACTGCCTGGTTCAAATATAGTCCGGATCAGTGATATTAAATCATAATGGTGCAATTCCTTTTCCTGTCTCTAGTTTCTACCCAATTCCCAGCACAGAAAGAAAGCACACCTGTTGCAATAGAAGTTCTTGCTTGCAGTCTCATGCTGAAGATGAATGAAAGTGGAAATAGTTTATCACCCCTAAAGAATAAGTGAGGATCTGCAGGAGTGATACAGGAAAAATTGCTCTAGGGACATAAATTATGCATAACCAGTATAAGCGGTCGGAAACCAGTTCAAATCTGTAACACAACAGAAGTTCAGTGCACATAAGCCACTTTCAAAAAGGCCAAAACTGATTTTAGATAATCCTGGATGGATGTAGTATCAGACAACTGATTTAAGTTAAATTGGTTTTCTGAGCATCTGTCCCAGATCCCCTCTAGATTCAAATTAACTCACAGCCCCTTAGCATCCCAGGATGCACCTTCCTGGAACCCCCCACCCTCAACAGGGTTAGCAGGCTAGCCTTAGCCCAAACTGTCTGCTCCAGCTGAGCAGTGAGGTGTGCTTGAACTCATTGTTCTTGTGGGCTTGAGGAAGAAAGGGTTTGGGGCTCTATGGTTGTGCTTGGACGTAAAGGTACAGAAAAAGCCTGGTCAAAAACATCATAGCAATAGAGGTCTCTAGAAGTCATCAGATCATCCTTCTGCTGTGATGCAGATTTAGCAGATGAGATTTACCTAGACTATTCCTGAGAAATGTCAGTCTGACCTGGTTCTGAACAGCTCTGGTTTGTTGGGGAGTCAACAACTCTTCTTCTCCCCTCCCCCCAAGTTGCAGACTAAACTAAATCTTCATTGTTGTAAATGTGACTACTACTTATCCCTCCATTAATGAACATGGAAAACAATTGATCCCCATTCCATCTATATATATATGACTTTCAAGACTGTTGAACACCTCCTCAGTCTTCTTTTCCCTAGGCTAAACAAACCCAGTTCCTTCAATCTTCCCTCCTAGGTCACATTTTCTAAACTTTATGTATTTTTGCTGCTGTCCTCTGGACTTTTAGCA